GGATTATAATTATTTTTAGAATATACTTCTGTATATTTTTATCGAATTCTTTTATTTTACACACATGCTGTTTGGTTTTTTTTTTAAATGCTGATTTCTTGTAATATGTACTGTGTTTCCCTGAAAATAAGAGCTAACCTAGCCTTTTTAAAGCATGCTCCTAATATAAACTCTACCCCAAAAATAATTATAATCCTAATATAAGCTCTACCCCCAAAATAATTAAGGTCATAATCCAGGGGTTTGTGTGGGTGGGCATGGCAGCACTGCAACGGCGAAGGTACTGGCTGCACTGCACAGGCCATGGGAAAGCCAAGAGTCAATGAGCTGGCTGGCGGCCACATGGGGCTCGTCTTTGTCCAGCGGCCGCAGGCGGAGGCAGAGTCATGGGTTGGAAGCGATCCCAACATGTCGCACAGGCTACCGACAAGCCAAGAGGCATGACACATCGGGATCGTCTGCCTTTCCCCCCGTGCTTCTGCCTCTACCTGCTGCCAATGCGTGAAGACAAGCTCCCACCATCCCACTGTCCCTTGGCTTGTCTGCGGCCCGCAGTGTACCTCTGCCTGTGCCTTGCCCCCGCACCTCTGCCTGTGTCTGCTGCCAGTGCCACTGCATGAAGATGAGCCTCTCACGGACGGACGGTCACTCTATCCCACCAACTATCAGCTTTCCAGTGGCCTGTGGAGTGCGTCCGGTTGCTGTGCAACCCCATATTGCACCAACCAGCGGGCTAGTGGGCTGCTGCTATTGCCAGACAGCGTCTGGCCCCATGTACTTGCTGCCTCTGATCACCCTGATATCGTGTTTTCCCGAAAATAAACCTTAATGCGGTTTTTTTGGAGAGAGACAAAAAAATAAGACGAGGTCTTATTTTCAGTGAAACGGGGTACACCTATATTGGCCCATCTTTTTCGTTTGAAGAAACAGATATTGGGCTGATATTTTCATAAGTATGCATGTTAGTTAATGCCCATGCACATATATAATTTCCTTCTTCCTACTCCTCCACCTGCCTTACTAAGTAGCATTTATGTTAAAAGTGTTAACAAAAACAATGGTTTGAATTTAGCATTAAACTGATGTTAAGAAATATAGAGTTGGAGTATTCTTTGACTTTTTTTCTCTTTAGGCGATGCAACAAAGGAGAATGATTACACTGAGTTGAATGGGATTTTAGAGACTCCTGATGATCAGAAGCACTGTTTTTCAGAGACTAACAATGAAATAAAGGAGAGAAAGAAAACTAATTTCTCTCCTCAGAAAGACACAGCTGTGCAGACAGGTACGTTAATTCATTATGCAACTTTTTCTTTACGTATTTCTCCAGACTATATTGCCTTTGGCAGACTCTTGTTCAGGGCATTACCCATATCCTTTTGCTAAGTGTAGCAGACTCACACATTACTGGGACACTTTTGCAGATTTTGTAGCTAACAAAATATTTTGCATTTGTTCGGGGCTGGACTGTCTGCTGAGATGATCTGAGAAATGTTCGAGAGAGCATCTGGAATTTTTTCAAGTTTGTAGAACCTGAGGAAGTAGATAGGGTTCCCTTAGCATGAGCCCTTCCTGCTCTGGATTGGATTTGTGCCCCACCTGTCTCCTTTGGGGCAGTTGGATAAAGGGTGACGGCTGAAACTTTTTTGTGATAGGCTTTTTTTCCCCAAAAGTGGGAAGGTACCCCCTGCCATTAAAGCAGTTGTGTAACCAACCCCTCTGAAGGAGCCATCTGTGGATACCTTGCACACACTCCTCCTCCCCCCTTCTCCTCAATTACAATGGCTCCTAGAGAAAACCTGTACTCTTTTCAGCTTGAATTCATACGTAGGCCAAATAACCCTATGCGAATGGATGGAAAATTACTCTTTCATAAAATGTATCAGAGGAATCATAAAAGACCTGAAGTCAATGACTCTTACTGCAAGGCCAAATAAAAACCACGAATAATAAAAGAGCTAAATCACTGTGTGTCAGAGCGATCTGAATGTTCAAGGAAGTAAGCCCACGCTCCGGACAAATTGTAAAAGACAAGGTAAGGTAGATCCTGTTGTAACTAGGCAGGGATAATCACACTTGTCATGAACACAGAATGTAAAGGATCTTAGCGCATGTTGTGATGTTTTAAAATCTCACAAGCCTTTATTTGTTTCTTTCAATGAATAAACAGTCAAAATAGAATGAGAGAAAGAAGTGTACAGACAATTAAAAGTACATCACAGAATGCATTAGAAAAACCAACTGTGAGGGAACTAATCAAAACAAAACATCATGTCATGTGCAATAATATATCACAATGTGAAATACAGAATAATAATTTGTTTTTTTCTCCTGGAAGGAAATGTTGCTTTGCCAGTTCTATAAGGGAAACTCTGTTAGACTAGATTTATAACCAATATAATGTAACTCTCACTACAGTATCATATTGGAGCTGATTTCCATTGGATTTAGTGGTCATATACTCACTTTGGATGAGATCACTTTAAGAATTTGAATAAACATTCCCAGTTTTAATTTTTTTTTACTAATGCTGATTTTTTTTTCTTAGCTGGTATTCAGAGTAAAAAGTTTAAAAATAGTGTTAATTATTATGAGTGGTGTTTGAGTAAACATATTGAAGGAATTATTTAAACTTTCTTTCTTTTTTTTGCTAGAGTTTGCAATCACTGATTTTCCCACCGATTCTGAAATTTCCCCTACGCCAGCTGGGGAAGGAAGAATGGACTGTGCCTCTCCAGATGTTGCTGTAGAATATATAATGGACCTCAGCAATAAAAGAAGCAAGAAAGAAGCACAATATCTAGATAAAAGGATTTCAGAAAAAGAGAATATTATCAGCTGTTGCAGTCGCTATGAACAGTGTTCCCCAAAGCAGAAGCATCCCAAGGCAGTGGGGAAAAATGGGAAAAAGATGGACTGGAACATAAACAAACCTTGCAAAAAATACATTCCGGCCTCTGAGAAATATCCCAGACTCCAGCAAAAGCAGAGGGAAGAAAAGAAAGCACACCGACAAATGGCACTGCTTCAGTTGGTTGAAAGAAACAGCCCTGGTAATCTTTGCAAGAAAAAAAGTGTTTCTCCAGATAGAGCCCTCTCGCCTCACCAGGAAGATGAGATCAAAAGTAAAGTAAGTGCCTTCAAAATGTGAGGTTGGCCTAAGCATAAACCCTTGTTTCAGACAAGTATAAATACTTGCAGCAGTGGTGAAATAGAAGAGAACAGAACAGAATAGAATCTATTATCATTTTAAATGTACACTAATTGGCATACCTTAAAATGAAATTTTGTTGCATACAACTCTCAAAAGTCACCACCTCCAATATACACTACATAAACATTATTAAATAAATACAAAATTATGCGTATACCCACATATATTATATGACATGGAGAAACAACACAGACTAGTTTGAATGTATACATGTACATGGCGAGAAAAACAAATCTTGCAAGTTTACCAGACAGGTGGCATAGGAAACAAAGCTGTTACAGAATCCGATAGACCTGCTAGAAATACTTTGAAACCTCCTTCCAGAGGGCAGCAACAGAAACAGACCGTGAAATGGATGTGTAGGGTCTCTGACAATGCTTTGAGCTCTAAGCATATAGTCCTTATGAGCAGTATCCTGAATAACAGGAAGTGAGCTTCCTATAATCATCTCGGCTGTCCTTACCACTCTCTGTATAGACATTCTGTCTGAGGCATTGCTACCAATTGACTGTTACACACTGAGAAATGGAGAGTAATTGAAAACACCACAAAATCAGCTATAAATAATTGAATTACATTTTTGAGAAGAACAAATTAATAGAGCCAGTTTGGTGCCATAGTTAAGGCGGCAGCTAAAAGGACTGTGAATTCTTGTTCTGTCTCAGGTATGAAAGCTAGCTAGATGACTTTTGGCTAGTCACACTCCCTCAGCCCAACCAATCCTATTGGGCTGCTGTTGTGGGGAAAATAGGAAGAGAAAGGATATTATATATGTTGATTTACCTATGGAGTAATGAAGGCTGGATAAAAACTCTAATTAAAAAATGCAAATTCCTCCAACTCAACCTCAGAAGTATTTTTAAGAATTATTTATGCTGCTGTGCAGTGCTAAGTATGCTACTGGTGCTACACTACACCAATACCTCTTCTTCTTCTTCGTCCTCTCCTTCCTGTTCTCATATATGAAACTACAGTGATTAAAAGAAGAAAAAAGAGCCATATATTAGTATAATAAAATTAATTTAATTTATCCAATCCAGAACACATAGAAATGCATTGTTGCATTTTCTTCTTTTTACAATCATCATCATATATATATATGTTTACTCTCTGGAAACAAATACTGTGAGGGTAAGACATCCCTAAAACCCCTTGGTGCGAGTGTTCTTTTAAGATGCAGCCTGTTGTGCCTTAAAATGTACTGCCATAAAATGGCTTCTACTGTGCAGCACAGTGGAGTTGCCATGGTGATGACTTCACAGTACTCCACAAGGGTGCTCCCTCTGGTAAGGGAGAAAATTCAACATTAGAAATTGCGTTTGGTCCAGACATTTTCCCCCTATAAATAAATACGGGGCAGTGCCAGGTTATTGGCTAATACACTTTTAAAGCATTGATAGAGGGATAAATCTTGAAGGTGTTAACATCAGGAATATTTCATTTTCTGTTGAATTTAATTGATTCTTTAGATACGTTTTTTATGTTTCTTGAAATTTGGACCCATTGATTTTCTAAAGTTGGATATTTGAATTGCTCATTCCACATTTCAAACATATTACCAATGTTTACCTTCATCACATTTTTTATTTTGAATAAAATTGTATTGCTGATTTCACTTCAAATACAGTGTCTCAGGGAGAGATTTTAGAATTCCAAGTATCTCTGAAACTGCTAAAGTATCTAGATTATATTGTTTGATCAATATATATTTTCATTATATGTATAGCCAAGCCAATAATTTAGCTAATTTATTTATACTCAGCATAGTCTGAAATCTTTAAAATGAGCATTATCCATAAACTGGTGTAAGGTATTTATCTCTTGTTTGGCCCCAAACTTCCAATAAAACAGTTTATCCTCTGTCTTCAAATTAGGTTCAGATCAAATTTCTCATGTGGATTTAGATTAAAAGTTAGCCACTTACTTTAATAGTCAAAGTTAGTTTAATTTAACTCACCAAATATACCTGCCAGCTTTCAAAGCTTGAAAAGACAATCTCAGTTGTCTCTGTTGTGACAAATTTCCTTCTAATCATCCCAAAGTAGATAATGTTGGAGAAAAAAACCATTCTCATAGGCTGTAAAATAAAGATCTAGTTTTAAAGTGGAAAATGTGAAAATATAAAGCATCAGCATCATGGGACAATTTAGGCGAAGAAATTTGAGCATCTTTATTTGGTCTTAGAATTTTCATTATTATTTATTTATATAAATTGAATTAATATTGGAATCCTTCTAAAGCTCTGCATCAGTCTAGAGCAGACCTGTCAGTGGCGGTCCTCGGGCCGAATACATCACGCACAGGCCACACCCACCCCAGCTCTGCAAAGGCAAAAAAACATCACGATCCGGCCCGTGATGAGATCAAGTTTGAGACCCATGGTCTAGAGGTACAGATGGGCCATGGGTAAACCACCATTGTCCATTCAAACCTGCTCTGAATGAGTGGTAATTATGACCGGTCCTCAGAGTTCTACCCATCACAGTGTCTCACAGTCATATGGTTGTCATTTGCAACCTTATTTTCCAATTTCTGGCAAGCAAGCTCAATGGGGAAGTCAGCAGGAGGTTGCAAATGACAGTTACGTGACATCTTGCTCAACAATTACTTTCTTAACAATGGCAGCCAGGATTGTTGTTTGCTAAGCAGTGCAGTCACATGACATCTTTATTTACAACTGTGTCATTTAGTGACAGCAATTACAGTCCCCGGTACCATCATTAACTACTGTACTACCTGTAGAGACCTGGTTTGTCCCAGACTCCAAGAATACATTTAGTATAAATAAGTGTGAATTTATTCATCTCCTTGCCTGCAGCATAGCTATTAGCAGAGTGCTAAAAATAAGGGTAAGAACAAATATAACAAGTAGATCAATTTCAGAAGGTAAAATAAGGGTTCATTATAAAATACAGTGTGATGGAAAATAACTTTCTTTGTTTTGGTCTTATTTTAGGAAGAACAATTCTCAAAAAAATTATTTGACCAAAGGTTGGTATTAGCATGTCTTTCGCTAGTAAAATATTGGTTTTGTGTCTGTGTTTACATATAATCAAGTGCTTAAATTTTATGACATTGTATTTAAAAGTAAAATTAGCATAAATTCCCAAGTTTTGGCTATTCCTGTTAGGGGGAAAAATTGCACTGAGAAATCAAATGTACATGAGTTGTTTGTTATATCAAATATCAAACAACTTCATCTTCACTCATAGCTCTTTTGGATTACCCATAAACAAAATAAAGACTGTTCGTGTGGAAGATCTGCATTTTCAAGATTGCATTTAAATATAAGCAGAAATTAATAGTAGATTAATAAAATGAAGAAAGCTCTGGTTGAGATTATTTTCTGCAGCTTTATTGTTCGTTTTAAACAGATCTGACTCTCCACCTGTTCCAGCAGTTAAAAACAGATTACAGCAACAACTAAAGACCTCTGATTTCCCAGTTCATAACAGCAAAAATGGAAGCCCAAAGAGTATTTCTACAGATCAGCATCGGAATGAAAGGCCTCTTCCAACTGCTGAAGCTGAAAGGCCGCCTTCATCTCATTTTGTTCCTTATGTGCGAACAAATGAAATATATTACCTTGATCCAGATGCACCCTTGACTAGGCCCTCCACGCATGAGCCACAATACCAAGAGCTGAACGGTATTGCAGTAAAGAGTTCAAGAAATGCTTATGGTTATTGAATAAAGTTTTTAATGTACTTCTTTGTTCTACAGTGCTGTTTTAATTCAGTACTGAACAAAATGAAATATTTGTTTAAGAGAAAATTATTAATTTTAAACCTATCAATCTAAACATAAATATATTTATTTGTAATCAGATGTTGAAAGAGAAAATTTATCCATGGGGTCACTAACAGTTAACCACATAGATCTCATGTTGAGCCCTGGTGGCACAATGGTTAAAATTCAGTATTGCAGGCTAACTCTGCCCACTGCCAGGAGTTCAATCCTGACTGGCTCAAGGTTAACTCAGCCTTCAATCTTTCTGAAGTCAGTAAAATGAGGACCCAGATTGTCGGGGGCAATATGTGGACTCTGTAAATCTGTTAGTCCTGTAAAGCACTGTGAGGTGGTATATAAGTCTGTGCTATTGTTATTGCTGTTCTATCAGTACATGTAGAATACTGCTTCTGTGAAACTTTTTTTGAGATTGGCTAAAAGTAAACTAAATTCTTTAGAAGGCTATATATACATTCTCTTTCCACACAAATTTCAAGCTATATTATAATTTATTCATGCACAATATTAAAAAATGACACTAACTGTTTACAGTACAATTAATTGTATCTATATTTATCTTTAGATACTTACCATAAACCACGGCAGATTTTTAGCTCTGATCACATAAGGGATCCTCTTTTTAATCCTAATATGGTGAGAGACAGGCAGCAAGCCATACTCAAAGGACTTTCAGAGCTGCGAGAGGTAATAATTGACTTTAGTGTAGTAAACTTGCCGTTGACTTTTTCATAAAGTCCACTGATATCGCATTGTTTACCATTGATCATTTTTGTTGAATTTTTCACTCTTAAGATTGCAATGTTTCCAACTTGTAAAAAAAAAAGGATAATTTGTTTTCATTAATTGGTTATTATAATATGTTTACATGTAATGTGCTTCTACATAATTCATATATGCTGCTTCTGATTAACTTTTCTAAAGCTTTCACAAAACTATGAGATTTAGACTCAGGCAAATTGGGAGGAAAATTGCTTCTACTACTGGACATAACAGAACTGTTCCTTTTATTTATAATCATGTTTCTACTTCTCAAACTGCAGAAATTATTCATAGCCGAATTCCATCGCATATTTACTAAGAGACAGACACTATATTCACAACCATTCTTCTATGATTAGTGAGGTTGAATATTTAAAATTGATCTCCATTTGTTGAAGAAAACCCTTTTGTGGTACATACTTACAGATAAAACTATGCAGTGTCCTTGTTCCGAAAACTGGTAGAAATTCCTTCCACAAATTTCCTTTCCCTGTTGTTATGAGTTAGTCTTCTTGAATAAAAAAGAAATTATAAATATGTTTTATTATTGAATCTAATGTCACCTTTCGTATTTCTTTGGAAATGTCTAGTTATTGTATTTTAAAGCTTAGCAATATTCTAAACTTTGAAATATCTAAATTTGTAACAGCTGTATTCACATAACACATCAAGCCATGGTCCCATCCTAATCTCTAATTGAATCCTTAACTCCATTATTGTTGAATATCCTCGATCAGGGTGTCAAGCCTGCCGCCCAGATGTGCCACACTCTGGCCACACTCATGCCCAGTTTAGCGAAGGGGGGAAAGTCACGATACATCACTTGATGATGCAAGTTTCACACCTCTGTCCTAGATCATATCCATGGCAAAAAGTGTGTCAGGAAAGATGGAAAAATGCAATTAGTCTTGCAGAAGAAAGGATTCATGACCAACCTCTAGACTTATATTTGTATCATCTTAATGGAAGATCTCACCAACCAGGGAGAATGGAGATCCAGATGTAGGTAGTCTACATTTGCATAGAATTTCAATTTTCTTAGAAGTCATCTGCTTAAAAGTTCTCCCAGATAGCCTTGCAAGATATGTTCATCACCTTTCTATGGCATCTGTCCAGCTGAGACCAAATTCTCAGCAGATCTAAGTGACCTTATCTTCCAGATGTCTAGAAAATTCCTCATAGCCTCCCTTTTCTTTCTAGCTATGTTCACTCAATGGGATCTTTAAAGGGGCTGCTGGGTACAATTCTGCAGATGTAGTAACAACAGCTCATCAATATTTAGATTGAAACCTGAGCTTTTCCTGCTTGGTATGATTAATTTTCCACCAGCATCCTTCTGAGTGTTTCCTCGGCTGCTTCATCATCCAGAGTTCACCAAAGAGTTCCCGTGGATTGGAGATCTGGGAGATGCTGCTTAGGACAAGGCCACTTAAGGCTTTTTCCCAGTGAGGAAATGAAATCAGCTGGACTGGCCATTAGAGCTTTGGGAAGATCCTCAAACACTTTGAAAATCAAGAAATTCCTTAAAAGCCTAGAGAAAACTGATCAAACGGGATCTCCTTGTGGAAGTTGGTAGCACCAGTCAGTTGCAAAGCAATCAGAGCATGATCCAACTATGACAAGGACAGGTGATCTTAGTCTTAGATCATATCACATCTGTCCTCAAATGAAAAATGTTAGGTGTTGTAGTCTTCCATGTGTCAAGCTGTCAATGATACTATTCATATCTATGTCATGGTGGCAATGACCTCTTAGGCAGCCTCTGACCCATTTCCACCAAGGAAGGCATATTAAAATCTCTCAGGACTTTAAGTCTGAGAAATTCTACCATCCATTGAGGAAATCAATAGGTTTCAACATAACAGGTAGGAATGCTGTTATAGTAGAGCAGTCCCAATCTGCCTCTAGAGCTCAATATTAACAGGGCATTATCTGCAACACAGTCTCCTAAGTGCTGTCAGTATCCTGAATGACAATAGCTATTCCACCTGAAACCTAATTGACAGTTTCCTCAGAGAGAGAAATTTTCTTTCGTTCATTTAGGCTCTGCAATTAAACTTGCAGTGAGAAGGGATCTTGATTTTGTTTTGTTACATTAAATATTTGTACAGAAATATGCAATCTACTTTGTTAGGGGTACCAAGAGATAATTATGCATAATTTTATCTTCCAGGAAAAGCACCTGATCTTTAAATTTCATTGCTATCATTTTCTGAAGAACATGACTGAAGAATTTACTTCCTAATAAAGCAAATATTTTAAAAACTGTTTAGCATAACTCTTTTTTAGGGTAACTTTACTGTTACAGCTATCTACTGTAGGTTATGTGTAGATTTATGATTGCTGTTTAAAATTGTTCAGTGTTTTGTAAAAGCATATTCATTTATCTTTCCAGGGGCTCCTCCAGAAGCAGAAAGAACTGGAGACATGCCTTATTCCAAGTCTTATGTCTCAAGAAGAAAACTTTACTTTACCGCTTTAAGAATTTCAGCTACAATGAATGGATGTTTTGCTGTGTTGGCACTTTATACTGTAATTATGAACCAAGTTTGTAGAATATGGACTTTTGTATATTTAGGATAAACTTTCAGTAATGAAGAATTTTATTTCACATGAAATGGTATAATAATGTGACTTGTTTACACAATATTTGTACACCTAATTTAAATTTTATGTGGGTATTTAGCATGAGAAATAAAATACTTGAATTTCCTGGCTACCTGAGTTGCATTTTAATTGACAATGTAAGCAGTGATTCAGATACATCAACCCATGTTTAATAGCTGTTCCTATAAAAATCTTACTTAAATGATTTTAAACATAAGCCGTATTGTGTTCATATGGAGTTAATAAGAGCCCAACGAACTCCCAGGCTGTGACCTATATGTACAGAACCATAATGAATGCCATATAATTATTTTACATTAAAATGTTAAGCCGCTTTATAAAAATTGCATTTTACATGTGTCATGCCTTACATATATTTAAAGTGAACAAACAGAAATCTCAACTCAAATTTAACTAAAATGGGTTGTTTTAGTAACATGGTTCCTTTCCCCCCTGGCAATAAAGGTAATAATTTAAGAAGAATATGACTATATAATAATGTTCAACCAATTAATACTTTTTTGCCTGAATAAAAACTGATAATGTGTATATTATCTTTACTTTCTGCACCTAAATATTTATTGCAGAATAGAATTCATGACAAGTTGTTTCGATTAATTTCTTCTCTTAAATCATTAATCCCTAATTAAAATCATGGCTTAGCATTTAATCTGAATCAAACATGAAAATGACACCAATTAGCAAGTATCACATACAGTATACGAAAACCTAAATGCTCAATTCTGCAATCTTTCAAGATACCTGTCAGATTTCTTCTAAGAGCAGCATCTTATTTGGAAGAAGAAAAACTAAACTTTCATCTTTCATCAGCCTCAAACAGTCTTTCACAACCCCGGAAAGTCACTAGAGGGGCAGGATTAAACCTTTCACCTTCCATCATCCGCCCCCCAACAACAACAAAAAAAAAACAACTTCAAAACCATCCCAACATGGAACAAGGGATTGAGTACTTCAGATGCAATGGACATAACATAATAGACATAACAAAGTACAAGCAAATAATTTCCATTTCCTAAATCTGTCTTTAACTCAATTTAAGTTCGGATTTGTACTGCCTATTAATGGAGGACAGCATTGTCCTTCAAACTGACCTAACACCTCCAGGAACCACTGAAAACAGGCTGTATATTAAAAACATGCAAATTCATCACCTTGTCGGCTTGAAGAAGGACACATTTGCCATTTTTAATCAGACAGCCTGTTCATATGCAGGGATTATTTTAAATTAGACATTCTTAACTCAGAAATTGCCTGTATATTGCCAATGCCTTAGGATTGCCTGCAATGGTTTCTAAATTTGATATAAAAATGAATAAAGTAATATAAACCAACTCTTGATTCAGAAATGGAGAAACAGTAAGATTTTTCATAAGCTTTTCTTCAAATGGCTTGCAGCTTGCATTCAAAATTCTATTGGCAGAGAACCAGTTTGGTCTAGGCAGCTTTGGGCAACAAGCCTCTTGGTCAATTCCTGTCACAAATGGATTAGCATTACCCTGTTTCCCCGAAAATAAGACCTCCCCGGATAATAAGCCTAATCGAGCTTTTGAGTGCATGTGCTAAAATAAGCCCTCCCCAAAAAATAAGCCCTTCCTGAAAATATTGCGACACAGCAGCAGCCATGAGGTGACCCCCCCTCACCACCTCCTGTACCTCAAAAATAATAAGACCTCCCCAAAAATAAGGCCAAGCACTTATTTCAGGGGTCAAAAGAAAATAGGACCCTGTCTTATTTTCGGGAAAACACTAAGTTGATCTTTAAAAAAGTGGACCCTCCACTTGCATGAAAATGCCAGTAATAAAACAAATTCTGTAGAACTGGTCTATTATTTTACTTTACAAACCTGCATTTTCTGGTGGAACTATATCCAGATAACTTAAATACTGAAACATAAATGCTAAATTGCAAATGTAAAAATCAGTCATTTGGACAGAGTTCAAAATCTGAAAACCAAAGTTTTAATTCAGACTACTTCATTTTAACTATAACCAACACAGATAAAACATCTGGTATTCAGAAGCTTCTGGTATTTCAGCATTCTTTCACAGCACTATTGCATGTATACATTCCTTCCGTAAAAACCAGATTTTAATCAACCCACCTTTGACTGAGCACATGCCATCAATGCTGTCTCCTAGCATCCACAAATATACTTTCAGATCATCTTAGTAGATTTATAATAGAGGCTAAAAAGAGGAAGGAACATGTTGCAAACTTTTCTGCAAAATAATAAAGATATAAACTTAATTTAAACAATTATCAGATTAAGAAGTGATAAGAAAAATAAATAAAAGTACCTAAATATTTCTGGTAGCAATTATTTTATAGTTATTGATTTAGAAAGTTTGTATTTATGGTTCCCCAGGCCTGCTGACAGAACCACATCTTTAGGGACTTCCAAGAGAGTGTTAGAGTGGGGGCCAGTCTAATCTCTGGAAAGATGAAATTCCATAAAGGGAGCCACCATAGAGAAGGCCCTTCTGGGTCCTGCCAGATATATCTCCTTAGGGGACGGGACCCACAACATTCATTGCTTTCCCACTCTAGTGCAGTGGTTCCCAAAGTAGGCGATACCACCCCCTGGGGGCGGTGGGATGGCTTAGGGGGGCGCTAAGAGGCAAGGGGCTGCAGGGGAGCACTAAGAGACAAGGGGGCTGGCAAAGGAGTGCTGGAGGTGGCCCCTTCTAGTGAACCATTTAGAACTAGTTCGCTCACCCCTCCCCATCCAGAAGCTACTCGATCGCTCGCTCCCCTACACGTCCACACTATGCTAGCCCTGCCCACTGCTCACTGATTGGCCTGGCTCACCAATTGCCCTGCCTGCCTCTAAGAGCCCTATCTAAAACCACTTACCTTTTTTTCTGCTTGGCTTTCTATCGATAGGGCTCTTAGAAGTGGGCGGGGCAATTGGTGAGGCAGTGCACCGAGGCCCCTTCACCTCCCTTTGCTCCCACTTTGTCTTGATGAGGTCACCAGAGCTGCCAGGCACGGATGGACAGAGGTAGCCAAACTGGCAGGACAGCCCGGGCAGGTGAGCGAGAGAGCGCCCGCCTGGGCCGCTCTGGCTACCTCCGTCCATCTACACCCGGCAGCTGCAGCAACCTCATCAAGACAAAGTGAGAGCAAAGGGAGGTGAAGGGGCCTTGGTGCCCTGCCTGATCCTCCTTTGCTCGCTATTTTGCCTGCACGGGGCACCTTGGAGGAAGCCCTTTGCTGGCGGCCAGACCTCCCCTCCCCAGGGCAATGGGCAATAGTTTGTGTGGTGCGGCCAGCGCCTAGGAGGTAAGCTCCTGCTGCCGTCCCCACCCCCACGACCGTACTTGCAGGTGGCCATGCAGCCCTGCGCTATAAGCAAGCCAGGGATCCTTGCAAGGCTGCTGAATCTTAAGGGAGATGCGAATGAGACCAAAATTTTAAAAACAGGTGAAATTCTTTCTGGAGACCAAAAGCAAATAGACACGCACGTGCACGCGCGCGCGCACACACACACACACAGCAAAAGTGTCTGGTTTTGAATATAGTCCTCCTTGGTGCTTGGAGAAAAAATAGAGGAACATTTGGATATACATTTTGAATTAACTTGGGAAGAAAATTGCTAAGATAACTTTTAGCTGTGTTCTGCATTAAGGATTCATGCAATAGCATTTCTTGTTGAATTAGCAGAGTAATATTTACAACAGCCAGCTAAGATAGTTTTATCTGTCTTATAATGTGCGTGGGTAGAGGACCTAAGCATAAGTGCAATGTTTGCCTTTGATTATATAATAAATTCACAGCTTATATATTTGAATTAGATGTTTTTCAATTCATGTTTAACCTATACTTGATATACTTGTATTCAATACATAAGGTGTTAATTATGTCAGTGAAAGAGATAGGAAACTGCATTAGTGATATATATATGTCAATGCATTGATTTGTACTAAAAATGTTTAGCTTAAAGAAGTTATAAGGAATCACAAATATGAGTGTGGAAAAGATAATGCAGTTGTGGATGACCCTTTGCATGAGTTGTATTGGAAAAAATAAAAAAATTCTAATAATAATAACTCCCAGAAGAAGCTCTCGGGGAGGAAATAAAATCACCACCACTAGAACCAGTTATCACTGAACCAACTGATGAACTAACTCAAAAACAAAAAGAATTGAAGGATAAGATCATGGAGCATTTTCTGCTTAATGAGGAAAGGCAACATTTACCATCACTAAANAGGATATTGTAAAATCTCCATTCCCTCCCCACTCAAGGGGAAGGTTTCTGCAAAATCCCCATTCCCTCCCGATCAGCTGGGACTTGGGAGGCAGAGAATAGATGGGGGCGGGGCCAATCAGAAGTAGTTTTTACTGGTTCTCTGAACTACTCAAAATTTCCGCTACCAGTTCTCCAGAACTGGTCAGAACCTGCTAAATACCACCTCTACTTGGTACCCAGCTGCTTTGAAACTCAAATTTGGTACTCAGTGCATTTTGATGTGAAACTTTGTCCTGGTACTCAGCCTTTGCTTGGTACTCAATACACAAGCTACAACTTGTTGGTGACAGCTGCCTGGTGACTCACCACATCATTTCTTATGGGGAAAAGTAGTTTGGTACTCATTGTTTTTGGTACTCACCTCGCCTCCCACAGACAATTAACAATGAATACTGAAATACCACCGCATCTTATTGTTAAGTGGTCTTGATTTTTATTCAAATCAATAGAAGTTCAGCTTTTCATATTAGAAGGTTTGATAGGACGGTATCACTACTTAATTTTATTTTTACCAGTTTCCTCAACAAATATTTACCTTAAATATATACATACTGTATATCTAAAGCATCAGAAATTTTTATGATAAGTTTCCCTCTTAGCACATTACCTTGTTTGCTAGAATTATTAAATGAGAAAACATAATAATGGGAAGCCTTAGTCCCTGACAGATTTGCTCAAACAATAACTGATTGATTGCTTTAGTTTTCATTAATAATGTAGCAATGGAAAAGAGAAAGGTCAGCTGCATAAAAATTATTTACTGAAATAAGTGGACAGTGTTTGAGGTTATTAATTATGAAAGCTCTGTACTTTAAAGGGAGATCTGATTTTATAAATC